TATAAATATTGAAATAAATAAAGTAAATATTACTCTGATAAAGCAGTAGCTCTCTGCAGTACGAATGGTATGTGTTTCACTTTAGAAACATTTTAAAACGGAGACAAACACAAATCTCACTGGACAAGAGGCCCAGTGAATCTCGAGTTGAGTGGTACTAAGACAGAAAGAAGAAACTTCAGACAGTTACCTGATGTTCTTATGAAAGGAGACTCTCCTTTCAAATAACAACGTCCCTCCACTTCCCTTTTCCACACCATCTTCCATTTACGCAATCGGCTCTCCTCCGAACAGGTGCGATAAAATGAAATTACGTTTTCGTTTTTTCTGTTTAATATTGTTTTTAATTTTGTTTAAATTTAATGATTTTCATTGGTTTTTGTGTATGAACTTAGGCACAAAGTAATGTAGAAGTTTAAATAAGCAATCATCTGGGATTAAGAAACGGATTAATTCATTTTACATGGGTTCCTTTGAGAAAAATAGTTTTTGTTTATTTACGGCCTTCAGGAACGAATTAAATTCGTGAATCGATGTTTGGCAAACAAAGTGGACACTACGATCAACACCAATTGGCGACAGTTTTTCATGATTGAATGTAATATTCAGGCTATGTTTTGCAGTACAGTGGCACGCCTATTTATATATGCTCGTCAGTGCGGCATTATGGATAGCATGGTCAAGTTTATCAGGTTTATTATCCTAACGGTTATTGGGTAGGCGGCAACTGTTATATTTCAAATCTTTTTAAAGGTTATTGAGTATAAATAATTGTGGATCAGAATGTGATTATTTATAGCTAATTGTATAACGTTAACTTTTAACTCCTTATTTATTAATAACTACTTAGGTCATTTTGTATTTATTCATTAGTTATTCGCTGTTGAATATTATTAAATTTACTTAGTTGCAGCTGCGCGTGCATTCGTAGTTTAATTTCTTTATTTACTTAATTAGTTATTTTTTTACACACGCTCTACCTCCGATATTGAACCCTTTCACTCTATAGATATATTATGCCTTAAAACTGTGTGTGTGTGTGTGAACAAGTATATCTTTATTCCTCAACTTGAGATGCTACTTCAAACATAGTGTTATGTGTTCGGTATTATTAATCCTGGAATACACACGTTCATTGTGTCTACTTATCATTGTGAGTATATATACGAAGTTTTACATAATAGGTAACCTAATTTTCCGCGTTCGGCAATATCAATCTTCAAACGCCATTTCGTGTTCCCTTGAACCTGTTTGTCCACCGCTATTCACAAATAAGCTGATTTCAACAAGGAAACTGGGTAAATGTCTTTACGTTCAACATTAACTGACACAAGGAACATTATCATTTGATGGACCCGAGTAATTTAAACGGAAAATACTTTGTCACTGAATCATCTATTTCTTTGTATCACGCAGTCTACCTGTTCAGCAACTTATGGGTGGCGTCTCATATTTAACTGAAAATAGTTTAAGAGTCCTTTTTGTATTAGTCTAGGAAAAAAAAAAGGTTGATTCTTATTAAGTTTTGCGTAGACCTGGCACAAGGACACAATTTTGAAGCACTTAGTCCTGAAGATCATTGTTATAGACTGTTCAATCCTATCTAGTTAACCATTACTATCAAGTGTCGATTTCGCGAATGCTTTCCTGTCGCAATGGTTTCACCAATGTTTCCTAGAGAGAAAGTAATCCAGAATCTGCTTCATTATTATACAATATCAGCTTTAGAAGAAAAAAATAACTTTCGATATCAACTGTGATTACATGTGTGCAGAAGTTTCCAGCGTTACCGTGTTTTTTTTTTTGTTTGTTTTTTACAAATAAAACGAACTTTTCGCTGAAAACTTTTGCACTCGCCTAATTATCTCGAATTAATATTTTACTAATTTTTTTTTATTTTTTTTATCACAAACTTCTAGTCTAACCGTTAAAGAAAGCAGCATGAAAATTGACATAAAAACAACTGTAGACTAAACTTTATGGAGCACCTCTTTCTGGTACTTTTTATATGGACAGCAATTTAACTAATTTGGTCACAGAAACTTGAAAATTATTCCTTCTTCTCTGTTCATAAAACATAGGTTACTATTAATAATAATATGATCATTTTGTTTAAAACTATGATGAAAAAATTATTTATCGGGGTTTAAGAGCAATTTGCAATAAAATATTACATACAAAACTATTTACTTAATATAAGCGCGTCCTATCAGCAAGATGCATTAACGGCACTTAAGGAAAACAGATGATTGCTTCACACAGTTGAAATATTTTGTCATCATATACATTTTTCAATATATATACAGGTATTACATTCGGGGCAATAGATATTTATCTCATATCTATCAACCCAACTATGTTACAATCTTTGTTTTTTTTTTTTTTTTTTTTTTTTTTTTTTGGAAGATTTCTGCTTAACTCTGCTTTGGCTTGATCTGATCATTGTCTAAACTTTCGTTTTTCGTTGACATTTTTCTTGTGCCTGGGTGTTGTTCTTAAAACTACTTTTACAGGTATTTTTGTAATATTACCGGTTGAGAATTCAGATTGGATTTATTAACTGATTTTTTTACGGGTTATCAACCTTCAAAAATGTTATTTAAAGCCAGAGAATATTTTGGGATTGTAAGAATTATTTTCAGATGATCTACTGGTTCGAGTCCTACTATTTGGACCATAGCTCTGGGGAGAAGATGTGCATTCATAACTTTTTCCCAAAAGTATTTGCGTGTAAGTGAATACAATGAACTCTACTGGAATTGTAACTCGGCTCTCCGATTTCAAATTGCGAACCATTATCTATTGCACTACCCACACATCTTACAGAACCTGACATTCCCAAGCGTTTACCCATCAGATTTGCAACCCATCGAGTTCAACTCATCATGAGCCAAGAGGAAAAAAGGGAAAAATTTTAACTACCGGTCATTTTTTTTTTTTTTTTTTTTTTTTTTTCATAGCTGGTGACTATTTAAAAATTTAGTTTTAAGAATTGAAACTCCACAATGATTTTTATGCAGACTTCATGTTTATATTAGCTGTTGATATAATCTGAAATATGAGAGGAAAATTTTATTAATATTTTAATTTTACTTTAATTCTAGGAAGAAAAGAAATAATTACGTTTGTATTTTAATACTTTCTCTATTCGATATCGTTATGCTTTTCAAATTTTCATCTTGTTGTTACCTGCTGAATTTTCCCGTTCTTTATCATTAGTAACAATACAAGAAAAAGCTGACGACACTTCATCGAAGAAATTTTATTACAATTCACAAATTTTAACATTTTATACAGGAAGTCACAAATTAGTATCTTCTCTACAAAGGTAGATCAGGATATATAATTACCGACGGAAGGCCAATTCATTATATAGCAATCATAAAATTATTTCACCTAATTTGCTCATTATGGCATTTAAAAAAAAAAAAAAAAAAGACTATCTTCGGTTTTTGCTACAGAGGCTAATTTTCGTTAACTTGAAACTGTGGAACATATTAAATTCGAAATAAATGGTATTTTTGTTGATAGCTGCAATTTTAGTGCAATGTAAAAGTTTTTTATTAGGTATTTTTGCCGGACTAATCTCAGCTATTGTAAATATCTAAATCAAGGCAGATAAAATCAGAACCTCGTCTGTGTCATTATCCTCTCATAAATGCATTTTCACTTTTTAACCTTCCATGTGATTTCCCGCGTAAAATTGTCACCAATATCACCGAATGTTGTAGGCGAACAGCGGAAGTTTTAATACTTGAAATTTTTCTTACAGCTGGCAACGAACCCCCATACAAAGAAATATCTATCTTCCGCCTTCTTTTTTTAACTTTCTTTTTCCGTAAAAGCTTATAAAGTCAACACGCAGGTGGATCAGCCTTTCTTTAACAAGTCTCCGTTAAATAGTCCCAAAGGCCAACATGATGAAAAAAAGATAGCCTAAAACGTTAACGGCCTCCTATTACGAAGTACTCTTTAATAAAAAAAAAAAAACCTCACTTTTTTGTTTATTACGTAGGTATTTATGTAAGCATGAAATTTTGTATTTAATTAATCAAAAAGTTCTGATTTGATCTAATGTGTTATCCATTTAGAATTCAATGTATTTAAGGTGGTCAATTATTTCTAAGATCTTAATCTGAAATTAAGCAAAATTGGAACTCCGCTCTTATCTGGTGAGAGCGACCTTGGTTATTTTCATATGAGTCTTATTTTTCAGTTTCGTTTACTGATAGCTGATTCTCTCACTAGTAATTGTATATCGGACTTGATCAGGTTGCTTTAGTGTATTTTTACAGTAACTAGGATCTGATCCTAGTCATTGCATAACTTAAAACTTACGTCAAACAATTAAAAGCTCCAATGTCTGGAGCTTCCAATTTTCCATTCTGTTAATGTTATTATACAAATGAAGTGTAAATATTTCATTTGTCTAATAGCACGTGATGTTCGTAGGCTTTGTATCCTCTTACATTGTAAAACAAAGGCGGGTTAAACTGAGTTGATAATCCACTTGTTATTAATCCACCTTTTTGGATTACTAACAAGCAGTCACTTTCTGAACTCTTGCCAGAGAAAGTTAAGGATTTGTGAAGGGTAACAGTAAAATCGTTAAGCCAAATTGTTTTATGCACGTTTCTCTTGTAAGTTAAACTTTGACACTGTACTATCAATTAAGTTATAAAACAAACCCTCTATTTAACGAACTCCATATAACTGATTCCTATTTAGCAGACTTTATCACAGGGTTGAGATGGGGCTCTGGACAGACCCAGGCTACATTTTGAAAAGATATCCGTATTTTTTTTATATTCGTTTTCTACGGCTTATCAACATTTTTAGCTTGTAAGAATTTTTATGAGTTAGTGATACATGTCTTATTCATTAACCCATAGCTGGGGAGTAGTGAATTCGCGCGTAAGTAAATATAACGAATCCAATTCAGAATTGGAACTAGGTTCTGCAATTAACAATTCTGAGCCATTACCCATTACACCGCCCGCACATTATTCCCAGGCGATCACCCATCTAGGTACTGACCAGGCTCAACGTTGCTTAACTTCGATGATCGTACGGGAATCGCTGTTTTCAGCGTGATGTGGCCGTAAACCGAATGAATTTTTATTCATACCTAGAAGAAATTTTATGATAACATGGGTCTCCGATGTATTTTAGATGATAAAATATTTTGGTTACCACCTAGGTTAAGAACAGAAATAGCCTGTCAAAAAGATATTCATTGTACTGAATGTTGGCATATGGCATTTTTAAAAAGATGAAATGACCTGGATTACATCCAGATATAACTGACATCCCTTACCTAATCCGTCACCAGTCCCGTTAAATTTAAAATTTACAATATTGTCAGGACTTCTTTTCTTTTCTTTTTTTAATTCTAATACTTAGTGACCGACTTTGAAAAAGTAGTGAAGAATGACATTTTTAGATTTTATTCAAAGATAAATCCAGTGAGCAGTTTCAACTAATCAGGAAATATAATTTAGTAGTAAAATCATGTCGATCAATAAAAATGCATCACTGAAGACAGAATTCTTTAATATTTTTTTTTCTGAATCCATCCACGTCTTTCACGCACATAGTAACTCTACCGACATCTCATCAACGTTAATCACACCATTATATCTGTAATGAAACCAACACTATGATATTAATAACCAAATAAAATCCATTAAACAGGCTGAACATATATTACCACATTTTTCTATTATTCGTTATTGATACAAGCAATATTTAAATTAAACATCGAGATTATTACTGAGAATACACTTGTATCAAATATATTATAAATAAGCTCAACCATGTGCAGTTGACCATACAGTTACGTATAAAAGCCAAATGTTAAATACTTACTGTTTATTATTGTTGGTGCATAATAGTATTGTATCTCTTGAATGTCACAACTCAACTTGTATACTCAGTCAGCTATCAATATCCAAAGAAGCAATACTATAAGGAAAATGCCATGTTTACTCACAGCAACTAAACAACCCGTCACATATATACTTGATAAAAAGATTTCACACCAGATGAGTAATAATACTATATTTCCTAAATAAAATAAAAACCCAGGCTTATGTTTTTCCCAGTATTTCTGTGACCGCAAAACTTCCCTTATTTTTAAATTTTGCAGAATATTTCTGACACCTGCTCTCGCATGCAAATTAATTGCCATAAAATTCAGTAATTCATTGTCTTTTTCGACTGTGTTTTCCACGAATTAAACAAGAGAAATACATGCCACATTCCCTTCGTATTCCAATAGTAAGTTCCATTCGGACATCTTCTTCCCAAGAACTGCTGCTTTGTGGAACAGACTCTCGCCAGGATGTTCTCTCAGCCACTACAATCTCGGCCTCTTCACGTCTAGGGTTAACTGTTATCTTTCTTCAGTAGTCCCATAAACTTCACTTCTTACGCTCATTGAACACTACGCAGTAACCCTCTACCTTAAGTGGCTCTTGGGTGTTGTATTTGAACACATCAGTTTAAAAACTTACCTATACTTTTCTATTTTCATTATCTGCAGTTTTCCTTTTCTCCCTGCTATATCCAATTTCATTTAGTAACTCTATGCCTTGACTGGCTCTGTCTTGTATTGGATGAAAATTTAATCAGAAAAATAAAAATTAAAAACTATACTGTTACATGCTCTCCCACCCAAATGTAAAAACAAAAAATATTACTTTCTGTAAATAGTTCTTAAATATTATACACGCACAAGCAATAAAAAGTCTGCGTGTACTTGATGCTTTGAAAGTTTCCCCAATTACTGCTGGAAACATTTGCATCAACTTAATATTTAAAGAATCCCAGTTTTGAACTTTGTTTATATGCCTTAATTCGTGACGGCCCTAAGGTTAGTGACACCCCGGGTAAACTGAACTTCGCCCTTACAAGTGTGTGTATGTAATATATATAATTTTCAAAGGAAAAAAACTGAAACTGGAGAATAACTAGTTTAGTACAATGTAAAACTTAATACAAGCTAAAGAAAATATTAATCATCCTACCTAAAACATTTTTTCTAGCCTTTACATGTGCAAATCTTTTCATGGCACTTTCTATTCGTATCTTCTTTACAAGATTATTTTCTACTAACCAAATAGCTCAAAGAATTTAATCTTAATAGCTAAAACTGTTTTTATAAACTTTAGTTTTGGAAGATCCCAAACACATGATATGGCGGCATGATGACCACTCGGTCAACTGCCCGAGTTGCCAGTATCTTGACTCACCCCATGGACTTGATACTAATGACTGTTGTGCAATCCTTGCCAACGATGTTAATTGTAATTTCACCATTTATGCATATGTGTTACTGATAGGAACACCCGGTGTTGCCTATTGAAAAATGATTTCAATTTATGTATGAAAAAGCAACGGTTAGTGAAAATAATATTTTAATGTACACTACAAATTGTGTAGTCCCTTAGTTTGAAAGTGCTTCTGAGTACACAACATTAGTGCTTCTCCCATCAAGAACCTGTACGAAAAGATTGTTTGAGGGATCGAACACTAGGATAGTCACCATAATTTTGCAGACAAAACATTGTAACCATAGAAATATTAAGATCTTTTACTCGTCTATCTGTTTCTCATTACTCTACATTGCATTAGGTATCAGATTCATGCCTCAGATAAGTAATTACTTTTCACTTTCTTGTTATTGAAGATTTTATTGCCCAATCAAGTTTCTTATTGTTGTCCTTGTTAAGAATAATGACCTTGTATAAAAAAAATCTACACGACATGACAGTAAAAGCCAACAATAGAAACAAATTTCACTATAATCAGATAAATTTAAGAGGAAAATGAATGCAACACTCTACTTTAAAGTTTGTACTCTTCTTTTTCTGGGTAACTATATCATTAAAATTATCTATTTCTTAAGTCTTTATTTCTTAAGTCTTTATTTCTTAAGTCTTTATTTCTTAAGTCTTTATTTCTTAAGTCTTTATTTCTTAAGTCTTTATTTCTTAAGTCTTTATTTCTTAAGTCTTTATTTCTTAAGTCTTTATTTCTTAAGTCTTTATTTCTTAAGTCTTTATTTCTTAAGTCTTTATTTCTTAAGTCTTTATTTCTTAAGTCTTTATTTCTTTATTTCTTTATTTCTTAAGTCTTTATTTCTTAAGTCTTTATTTTAGTCTTTTTCTTAAGTCTTTTATTTCTTAAGTCTTTATTTCTTAAGTCTTTATTTCTTAAGTCTTTATTTCTTAAGTCTTTATTTCTTAAGTCTTTATTTCTTAACTCTTTATTTCTTAACTCTTTATTTCTTAACTCTTTATTTCTTAACTCTTTATTTCTTAACTCTTTATTTCTTAACTCTTTATTTCTTAACTCTTTATTTCTTAACTCTTTATTTCTTAAGTCTTTATTTCTTAACTCTTTATAATCATTTTAATGATTATCATGAAGCTCGTTCTATTAAATGCTATCTGGTTTGTTTATATCGGTATTAAGCGAATCTCGAAGAATATAAAAATTACACTATTCACGAAATTAATCTCTGTATAAATTTTGAGCTTTAAATGCAGTGATATCATGTCCTTCGCTCTACTGTTTAACTGCATCTTGCTCGAAATGAATCTCTTATAACAGTGACAATAAATAAAGAAATATCAGTCGAGTGTGACAATGTATGACTAATCATTATTGGAGTTGATCACATTGTTCGTTGACGATCTTCTTAGATATGTTCTTGTCTATATCTACAGTATTCGCTGAAATGTGACCGATTTTCTTTCTTAGACTCATTGTTATTTTATTGCATATTATAACAATGCCACGTAATGTTTTCAGCACTTAACCTCAACTCTGCTTGTTTTTTTTTTTTTTTTTGTTTGTTTGTTTTTAAACTTCTTGATAAAAAGGTGATGCGCTTGATAACTGCTCGAAATGAGAAATCTGAAAGTAGAGTTCGAATTCTAGTCAAGTTCGGTACATTGACAAGTGCAAAATTTCTTGGGAAATGTATGAATCCATCTCTTCTCTCTCCAGCTATGGATAAGACAGCAGAACAGACCCAGTTTTATAACGTTGGTGGGCAATCAGTCTATCACAAGAATTCTAACGGTAGCCTACTGCAAGAATTCTTCTACAAAGTCGATTATGAATTAAAGACATGGTCGTCCAAGCATGCATCACATAAGGAAGGAAGGATAAAACTTTAAAGATATTTGCTAAGCTTAGTCTGACGCAAACAGGTAGTGACAGTCGAAATTTAGAACAGCCTGTTAAATTAAGAAGACATAAATCCAAAGACACATGGGGAAGAGTAAAAAAAATACCTTTCAGAAAAGTATTAAGAGACAAGAAAAAGTGTTTGTTTCACTCTCCCGATGATAGGTGTGGTTAACGACTGGAAGAAAGAAGTTAAATCTTCCACCTATTGTTCATATTACCTTGGAATCTCTGCTTAACAAATCATATTAATACACTTTCTACATTCCTGTTCAGCTAACTTTTATTTTAATAAATATGCTCTCAACGAAATCTTCACAGCCAACTGCACACAACTTAGTGGGATGTCCTTTTGGGGGCCAAATATACCATCTGAAATAAAGGTTTATGCTTAAGTTTTAAATCTGACTTCTCGTCAATCCCTGTCTTAGTTCTCAACATTAAATGACACTTGTGGGACGTGGAACCCGATATACCATACAAATGTATGCATCATTTACTCTGATATGCTTTAGTTGCGTCATTGTTATTGTATTATATTACTATTAGTGGTTTAAGTGAGCAACAAATGTTCCGTTTCGCTGAATATTGTGCAGGCGTGTTATGCTTCAGGAAATAGTGTCAGAATATTGTTTTGAATAGGATTCCCAGTACTACGAAGTATTGTCTGCAGAGACAGATGCATCCACAGATCATCTTTTAACTGGTGCTTTTTTTTTATTAATTTTTAATGTGACATTAGTAAAAACAAAAGAATTTTAGATCGATACCATGCCCGTTTGTTGCGAAACAAGTCAGCTAGTAGTGAGATACTAGATACGAATATCCCGGAATTGTATTTACTCTAAACGCCGAGTTTTGAAACGCACAGGAAATATGAAGAAACATAAAAATTGTTGTCATAACA